CGAAGATAGATATATATTCACATCTTGCGAGAAGATCGTTAGGGCGAAGAAAACTGAATCTTTTAAGGCAGCCGGTTTCCTGAATGACAAATAAGGGGTTACTCATTGCAAAGCGATGATGACACCTTTATTTGAGAAAGAAAGGAAAAATTTTTGTCAAACAAAAATTAGGCTGTACAAACCAGTTTTCTACCTGAACGTTTTCTGTATCTGAACCTGTCAATTTGTCAAGCAATGTTTCGACTGCGTTTTGTTTTAGTTTGGTAGGTGAAACGTTTGCTTGTTTGCCTGAATCAAGTTTGCTTGATCTTTTGTACAGTTTGTTTGAAACTTGGTTTTGCAAACAAACTTCCAAACCTGTACAACCAGGTAAAGTGAAATCATATATGTTCACCGCGCCCGCCTCGAGTTTAAGGGAGGGAGGTGAGGGTTTTAGTCTTACACTTCGAGTGTGAGTTTTTCCCACCCAAACCTGTGGTTTTTCCCACCCTGGTTAAATTTGGAAACACAGATAGGTTTCAACGGACGCTCTGCGAGGGTTGATCCTCTATGCTGTTTCCTCCTAGCCTAGCCCTACCGTTTTTCGAAGCGGGATCGCGGGATCCGTTGATGTTCTCCCAATTTGCTGAAGGTGAAAAAAGCGCTGATGCATTTTTCAGTTCAGTTTGTCATGCACATGTTCTGTCTGCAGTTGCTTGCTTATTTGGACACGTTTTTTGGACCTGACATGACCAGGGTTCGAATAGCGTACCGCGCGTGGTTGTTTAACTTTGTTATACGCGAAGATAGATATATATTCACATCTTGCGAGAAGATCGTTAGGGCGAAGAAAACTGAATCTTTTAAGGCAGCCGGTTTCCTGAATGACAAATAAATTGAACAGATGGTGCAGTTTGGTCACCCTGCCACAGTTAAAGCCGGACTTCCAGAAGTGTTGCAGGATACAGTGGAGGTTTACCAGTGCACAGAACTACACGAGCGTGTGGAACACAGAGCATCAACACCTGTTTTTTTGGTTGCGTCGGTATGCGTCGGTTGCATGCGTTGAAGGCTGATGAAGCCAGACTTAAGGAAGGCATGGATTGTGATGTTGCACTTGTGATCAAGCCGAACAACATCTTGCTTTGGCAGGAAATGCTGAAGTCTGTCGACTATCTGGACCTATCAGTGGTCAGTGAACTTCGAGACGACACAGACCTTGTTGGATGTGCCCCAAAGACTGGTTTGTGGCCTTCAAAGTTTCAACCAGCTTCCAAATCACACTTGACGAATTGCATGACATTGCGTGCAAGGAGCGGGGAGGCTTGCGTCAGCAGTTTGCTGGCGGTTTGCGAAGGAGAGTTCGTTGACCAGGTTTGGAACAAAACGATGGAAAAAGTTGCAACATGGGGCCCTGATAGGCCCAATTCCCTTGGATGATATACTGTTGGATTTTCCTCTCAGCCGGCGTTATCCAACAGGGGTTGAAGATGCGGTGCATTGACGACTTCTCCAGGTCATCAGTCAATGCCAATGTTCAGACGTGTGAGAGTCCAAAGCCTCATACGATAGATGTTTTCGCTGCGATGTGTGTGCATTTGATGGAACAATTTTCTGGGAATGACACATGGGTTGGACGGACCTTTGATCTCATTGGTGCTTATCGGCAATGCGCCGTGAAACCCTCATCTCCAAAGTATTCACATTTTTTGGTCCAGCAGTCTGCAGTTGTTTGGATTCAGGATGCGTGCCCTACCTTTTGGGTCAATCAGATCTGTACACTCCTTTTTGAGGATTTCGCACAGCCTTTGGTATATATTGGTCAAGGAGTTCCGGGTCTTGGTTACGAACTATTTTGAAGACTTCATTTCTCTGTCACCTGGTTCGGAGGCTGCTGCAATCACATCCTGTGTCCACTTGTGCTTCAAGCTTTTGGGTTGGTCATTTGCTGAGTCAGGCGACAAAGCCCCGGAGTTCAGCGCTGAGTTCCATGCGTTGGGAGTTTTTGTGGATGTCCTAATGTTACGTCATTGCACTTGTGCGTGTTTTGATTGGTAACACTGAGAGCAGACGCCGTGAGCTTGTTGAAGCCCTGGGGGCCATCATGGAGTCCAGGCGCATGACAAAACAAGAAACTTTGAGGTTGAGAGGCAGGTTACAATTTACCTCTGGGTATTTGTTTGGTAGAATTGCGAAGAGTTGCCTCACTGCAGTATCCAACCATGCATACTCCTCCTCTACCTCTATGATCTCTGATGAGTTGTTGTCTTCTTTAATATTGTACAAGCACCTGCTGGAGACTGGGAGACCACGCGAGCTGAAACGTTCGTCTGCAGAGACTTGGTTCATCCAGACGGATGCTTGCTTTGACCCAGAACATGATCATGTGGTTGCTGGAATTGGGGCTGTGCTATTCGCCCCTGATGGACGTCCCATGCGTTTTTTCTTTCACAAGTTGTCGGATGCAATGGCGCGCAATCTGAATCCGTCCAACAAGAAGTCAGCGATCTATGAATGCGATTTTTTCGTTTTCTTTTGCTCTTTTTGGCTTTGGGGTGATGTAATCACCGATGCAGTTGTGATTTATACTGACAACAATGGTGTGCGTGACACCTGGATTTTTTTGTGGCACTCGAAATTGTATCGCAAAGAAGATCCTTACAGCAACGCTGGTACTTGAAAGCACAAAACAAATCACTCCATGGTACGCCAGGGTCCCGACGGATTCAAACCTTTCAGATGGCCCTTCACGTTTTTCTTGCGACAAGGTGAGTTCAATGGGTGCGGTCAGATGTGACATCTTTGGTGATGAGTGCTGGGCTCATCTCATCCCCTTAAATGAAAAGTGGGGAAAATAGCAGGCTCTGAGCAAGCCCAGTTGGTCAAAAAGGCTTCAAGCGTTCCTCACTCAGAGTTTGCACCTCGGAAGGCAACTGAAGCACCTAACGTTTCAACAATCCAGTTCCGTGCATTTACACTGGCTCACCAGCAGTTGTGAGGGTGATAATATAGTGGTCAGACTTGATAACGAATTATCACCTGAAACAAGATACGGATGCATATCAGCTGCGTGGATCAAGGGCGACTTGTGGTCGATGTACAACTACATGTCAGGTCTTGCACTTCAATGTCATTCACTTGAACTTCACTTTCAACATACTTGCAACTTCAGATGACAGAATTGTGGTATCACATGTTTTCTTTTGAGGTTTTTGCAATTGCGCCCCACCCTCTGGCCACCCTTTGGCCGATTGCAATCTCATACTTGCCGACTTCATCGTGAACAAGCGTTGTCGTTGACACTTGCCGATTCCAAATCTCATATATTTGACGACTTCATCGTGAATAAATGTTGTGGTTGAAACCTTTCGACATCCAGGGCATTGGCCAAACCCTGGTGCCTGAATAGCAGGCTCTGAGCAAACCCAGTTGGCCAAAAAGGTTTCAAGCGTTCCTCACTCAGAGTTTGCACCTCGGAAGCCAACTGAAGCACCTTCCGTTTCAACAATCCAATTCCGTGCATTTACATTGGCTCACCAGCGTTTGTGCGGGTGATAAAGTATAGTTAGAAAGAAACCAATTGCGGAAAACAGGATTCAGAGATCAAATGCACGGGCCAGGTGTAATGGCATAAAGGTTTGCTTGAAAATATGGTATCCCAAATTTGGTGGGAAGGCGGGAAACAAAAAATTGTATTGCGTTGGCCAATCATTAGGACGTTCTAGTTTGGGTGCTTCCCTTTACTGCGCAAAATAAAATTCAAAGTAACCTTCCAAGGACAACTTTTTGTCAAATACCAAAAAAATCATGCGTTTTTGAGTGAATGACTGGATAAAATTGCGGAACAATGAAATTCGCGTAATTCGTGGTTGTCAAAGTTTTGGTAACCAACCTAGTATCGATGTTAGAACAAAATGAAACCAAATCACAACCGCTCATCATTTGCCGTGTCAATGGATGGTACATCGCACTTCGTGCGTCGGAATGCTGTTCCGACTGCTGGTTCGGCTGCGGTTCGAATCGTTGGTTAAACGGCTGATTTCAAGTCGCCGCTCACGATGCAACTGCGAAGACCTCTCGCTTTTTATGTGGGGACTTCCATCAAGCATTCAGCCTTCTTATGCTAATCTGTAGCAGATTCATTTTTTCACGTTGCAACTTGGGCACACGCAAATTGGTGGCTGGTTGATCCGTGAATATTTTGGCTAACCGACCCTTTTCCCATAGGAACTTAAATATTTGTTGCCTGTGTTTGCAACTTACACTTGCACAATCAGCCTTTTTCCACTCCAGCACATCGCTGACATTTCTTGCCATTTCAAGTGACTCATCAAGTCCACTGACATCTCCCCTGGACGGGGCATCAGCCACGTTGGCAGCCAAGGGCACACGTTCGTACCATGCTATCGATTTGGTTTCAAATTCCCAAAGCAAGGTCCTCTGGAAGATCAAGTTGTCGACTAGTCCTCCGCCTTTCCCAGAGACTAGTCTGCTGAGCACTGCATCGTTGTCCACGAAAATGACAAACCGATCGTTTGGGAAAATTGTTTCGCAAGGCAGGAGCAAAGTGCAGCCCGCCATCACAGCCAGCGCTTCCAACTCGAAAATGATGGTTTTTCGTTCATTGGGTTGAATCTTACAACAATTGCTACAATTTTTACATGTCTGTATGAAGAACACACCAGACCATATGACCAAGATACCAAATTGTTTTATCGATCAGTCGGTGAAATTTGCCTGGTCACCATTTTGCATTTGCTTGTATTTTATTATATTTCGGTTCAAACCTCAAATTGTGTTTGCAATATTTTCAGTAGTGAATTACTTGGTTGCATTGTCCACACTTGCAAACAGATAGAAAAAACACCATTTAGTTGCTCATTTCTTTGCTTTTGCATGAATTGTGGCCGACCAACAGGGTTCACACCCAACTATATCGTTTTTTTCCTGCATTGCAAACATGTAAAACATGCAAACAGTTTATATAATTCATATACTATATACATTCTGAATCGTCACAAGTGACACCCTTCCCACCATGATGCCTTTGCGTGGTCTCCACGAGGACGCTGCTTCATCCAAAAGATGCACTCGGTTGAACTTGTGGTGGGACACATTCCACACTATGTTTCATGCACCGAAACAGTGCCATTACAAACATGATTTCACAAAGTGTCACAAAGTGTCTCCATGACAGAGGTTCTGTGTGTATCGGGATTGTCCCATGCTGCGGAAGATGCTGATGGGGATCACGTGCATTTGAAAGCAGTACGAGGATTGTCACGCAAAATTTGTACATGACGCGACTGGCTTTGTGGACCCAAATTCCACGAACTCCAGCAATATAGGGGCAGCAGCAGGCCAGGAAATGTTGCCGTTGCTGTTTCGTTGCCAGCACGTACCTGTCATCGTTTCTATACAAAGGTGCTGGGCTTGGCGGCATGGTCGTTTTCCACATTACGTCCAAAGATTGCATCGTTGACGCCTCAATTGCCTTCAAAAGGATCCAACAATTAGTGTCTCAATTAGAGTTCTTACTCCAAAGACAGTTTGCTGTGTGCACTGTGTGCACTTTGCTTGGAAGGTTTGTGGGTGTATTTGTAAGTGTGTCCGCGTGGTTGGTGCTCAGCGAGGCCCCGCCAGCATGTGAGCAGGTGAAAGAGTGCATGGCGGAAGCAGCCAAAAAGGACGGTCAAATTTGACGCTCAAATATTGTGTTTTTTTCGAAAAAATGAGAGTCGCGAGAGCTGATGCCTTGTTGAAAATTGCACCATAGCACCAGGCTTTTATGGGATCAGCGATCATGGGAGCAGCTGCAACTGGTGTTCCAGTCCCAGTCCATGTCTTTTTGCTGCTTTGAGATGCAACGATCACAGCCTGGTGTCGTGAAGAATCCGCACTTTGTTGAAATGTGAGGCGACCACTGCAGATCCATCCACAGCTGCATCCTCTGCTCCGCTAGACGAATGGAGCCTTGCGCCTGCTGGAATCTGAGTTGCTGAGTTGGGAAGTCTTTGATTTCTGCTGCTTTCTTGTGCCAGACGTTCACTTCTAGCCATTTGATATTTTTTTTACTCTGCATTTAGGGTATTTAGGTCCTTTCAAGTATATAATGTGTTCCAAATCGACCTTTTTCTTCCGGTGGATGCTGTCCGAACTTCATCCTGTACCCTTTCAGGCCTGTGCGATTTGGAACTACCTTGGCCTTCGCTGTCAAAAAGCCACCGTCTCAGTAATCAGCGGGAGCGGGAACCAAAGCAGGATTCTCTCATGCTGGTTGACTCTTTGCTGATACCCGAAGGACAGATCACGACTTGGGTCGTTTTTGGGCCTCAAGCCGCTTGCAGGGGCAGTGTGAAAGCCAGGGTCTCAGTTTCAGCACCATTCTGATTTTCAGCTCCCAACTCGGTACATCTCGGTACATCTCGGTACATCTCGGTACATCTCGGTACATGTTTCACACCACAGCTGCAGAGTTGATTTGGTGGGCCGAGACGGCATGCGCCCACCCAGGCATGGGCGGGACAGGACAATGAATCCTGCGATGCATTTGAAAAAGGTGCGTAGCGGCGTAGAGCCTGAGAAATGGAAGCACCATGAAGCCCCTGCCAGCCCCTGCTCTCTTTAGAAATCTAGAATTCAGGCAGGCATGGTGCACTCTGGCTGAGATCAACTGCACATTTTCTTGGGCTCGTCAGTTTGTTCGCTTTTCTTTCCTGTAGATATGCATTCACGTTTGTGTTCCTTGCACCTCTAGCATGGCACTCACCTTTTGAACGGTGCTCACGGTATTTCCTTGGATGAAACACGATTGCACAATCCATTTCCATCCGAAAGCACAGTTGCTTTTGCCATGGAGCCTGCAAATCCGAGCGACCTCCTTGCTAGCCACTCAGACTTTTAGTTACTCTCTGTGCATATATTGGAGAGACTAGAAGCACCAAGATTTAGGTGTGTCAAATTTCCAGAACGTTCCACTAAGCAGTTAGTAGGTTCAAAGTTTTTTATAAGTCTGCCAGGCTCTCCGCTCATGCTCTGGCATTGTAAAAGCCTTAGCCTTTGAAATTCAAAGGCAAAACCATTTGATTGTTTGACGTTTCAACCTAGGCACCAGACATGCAGCAAGCTATCCAGTTGCTGTCTCGTGGCGGGAACGTTGGAAGGCAGAAAAGTGGTTGAGATGTTGATTATTCAACAAACAAAGTCCTTTGGTGCATGGGAATAGGCCCCTTCCACCCGAAGCACATAATTATCTTTTGGTGATGTGTGACCATGTGTTGATTCTTAGCTCAAACAGGTCCAATCCCGGTGTTGCGGAGTGCTTGATGAGGATCAAGGAGTGGGTGAAAGTGACATGCCCAGAAGACTTACCACCCTGGAATTTCACAGCAGACACATTAGGATGAGATGAATTCGACAGGAGATTGATGCTCAGGCTCAAGTAGAGCTGGCACCTTGGGTCAAGTGCTTTAGTTGGTTTCATTTAACTGTATCATCATACTGTACACTAGGTGCAATACTCTACACTACCTAAATGCAGTACACTAGGTGAAAAAGGAAAAAACATATATACAGACATAATGCAAAACATACATTGGAACAGTCGAAGAGTTCCCTGGATAGCCGCTCCGAGGCAATGCAAACTGTCTGAGTTGCAAGCCCAGAGACAACTGAGACAACTCAAGCATATTCAACAGATGTCTTGACGTCCGATGTTAGTGCTATGTCTCCAGGTCTGGCATGACTGAACGCCAGCGGATTGTCGAGGAGATCCCATAGATACGGTGACTTGTATTGATTGTAGAGTGCTAATCCTTGGAAATAGGACTCGTTTCAAATATCGTCCCATGACGAGCATCCTTGGAAAACGAGACCTTAGAAACCATACTCTTTGTGGAGTGAAGTTTTGAAGGCTGCAATTTGCATGTCTCAGGAGCAGCGCTCAAAACGCTTCGATTGCTTGGCGGAGGTGATACAGGTTCTCAAATAGCAGGCCCGTTACCTAAATTGGGATGGGCAAATGCTGATTTCGAGGCTTCTGTACGAGAAGGTGCAGTCACCACCCGGCAAGCCATTTCTGCAAGGGCAGAGGCCGACTTTACTTTGTATTTGCGACACATATTTCGAGCAGGAACATAGCGATCATGAGGGTGTCTTGGTCCCTTAGAAAATCCTGACTGCTTTGCAGGTTTCAAAGCAAACCATCAAGGGCAATGTGCAAATTGAGGCATTTTCCGCAACTTTATAGGGGCAGGGAAATTGTTGGAGAAATTCGCTTGAACTACTGTGCTGGTAGCTGTTTTCATCCGATGGCCTTTGTCTTGAGATCAGTGTGAGGAGAGCCGGCTCAAGGCACAAAGCAGCTGAAAACTGAGTGGCAGCGTTTCCTGCAACACTCAACACATCTCAACACTTCCAAGGCTTCGGACATCTTGTGACTTCTGCCTCGTCTGCCTCTGGCATCTAAAGGGATCCAATGGGTGGGACCAAGGCTCCAATTTGTGGCAATGGGTCATTGGCTTAGTTCACTTTGATAGAAATATTTGAATCCAAAACTCCATTTAGCTCAATGCTCATACGCTTGCTGCAACAGACTTGAGCCCTGCTTTGGGCATTGGACGGATCCAACTTGAGAACACTGCATTCTCGTCCTCAACCTTTGGACGTCAATTGGCAAATGTCTATACAGTTTTGCCATGTTTTGCCCCTCTAGCTTCCGGCACTCCACATGAGTTTCAAATAAACATACGTCACACACACACACAGACATGTACAACAGATACAACACTATATATATATATACGTACAGGGTACATCCAGAGACTGTTCTCCAAATTTTCGAAGTGCATGTGTCTAGACATGCATTTTTTGCACACCAGCTCACTTGGTTCTTCCTCCTTTCTAGGACCCAAGCTCCCATGGTAGAGCACTGGAACATCCCAATCACAACCTCACCTTGTTGCACTAAGATATTATGTAGCAAGAATTTAACAAGGTTATTGACAGCACAACCTTAAGATTCCTGCGAATTTCTCCTTGCACAAGTTAGCAAAAGAATCCCGGGCCCAATATCCTCCATCCCAGCAGAGATGCAGCACAAGGAGGAACCCTTCTGAGACAAGTGCGATGTTTTCGCTCAAGAATCAGAGGATCATAGCACCCAAGGTTTCAGTTGTTTAGGCTTCTGGTTCGAGATGCTTTTCAGAGCAGTGGGGGGACCAGAAACATATATCCTATACATATCATTACATATCTATATATCAATACTAGGTCGGCGTACAAAGATTACAAACAAGTTTGCTAAATTTGCTAAGGTCTTTCACTGATAGATAATTCGCATGCTGAATCCTCAGCGGAATTCCGCGCATTCAGAACTTGGCTGGCGAAGGACAACATCCGAAAGGCCAGGTGCCTGGCACAGTGACTGGCACGGGCACGGGAATGACCTATGGGTCTCCGCGGTCTGCGTGACCAGGACGCTCTTTGTGACAAGTAAAGCTTCGAGATCGTCGAGATCACAGGAGCTGGGTGAGGGAAGAAAGGTCGCAACATCCACTCCAAAGACCTCTAGCAACAAATCTGGCAACAAATCTGGCAACAAATCTGGCAACAAGTGGCTCTATTTGGTTCAGCGCCTTTTCACTGATATGGGAAAGGCAGCAGAAAGCCGACGCCGAGATTCCACATACTGGGCGGTTCTTGCAGGATCCGCAGTCCTGGCAATCTTTGGTGATTTATTTGGGATCATGAGGGCCTTGCTGAGCTTGAACCCTGAGGGCGCTCGTCAAGCTAATCTGGATGAAATCTATCCTGTGAGTGGATTAAAGGCATTTAGACAAAGAGGGAGGTACCATTTGCGTTATCCTGGAGACTGGCTGGGTGATGAAAGTATAGCATTTTCCAAGCAAGCTGCAGCCGAGACCCCAACTCTGAGACAGAGAAAGCGGATTGTCCCGGATGCTGCATTTGGATCAGCGGGTGCTGGCATTGCACCTGTGGACAGAGCACAGAGTCTTTCAGTGATTGTGCAGCCGGTGCCGTCCGAAAGCTTGCAGCTTTTGTTAGGTGACCCTGAAAATGCATTTGTGCGCCTGTCCAAGGAGACGTTTACTGCTGCACAGTTTGGCCAATCTACAGAGCTACTATCAACATGGCAGGATGGTGAAAAATATGGATTCCAATACTTGGTGAGCGTTGAAACCAAGAAAGGCCCTGTGTGCATCCACTGCTGGTCCACTGTGGCTCTAAGAAATTCTGAGAGATCCAGCAGTGAATTGTACACCATGACTTTGGTGGTGCCAGAGCAGATGTTGACCTCTGAAAACCGACAAATCTTTGACCAAGTCTGGCACAGCTTTGAGCTTGAATGAGGAGCTTGCAAAGCCGAGCCGTAGTTCCATGAGAAACAACAAGACGTTTCGGTTTGACATGAATGTAACGTTGTTGTGCGAATACTCCAAATGATTTGCTGCAGTGTTTGTCCAAAACAATTTAGCAAACACCTTATGAAAGATATGAAAGGTAAAGTTCTGAGCTCAGACTGAGGCTATGTTGACTTTCGTCTTCACAGCCAGCATGTCAGAGACCTGTGGAGCCGTGGAGAGACTGTGATGTGATCCTCTGCAGTGTGGCGCCTTGGCGCCTTGGTCCTTGGCTGCTGTAGGGGTGTCCGTATTCGCCACGCCTCTCAGAGATCAAGTTTGGGTGCTCAGAATGGATTATGACATTCTGATGCATTCTGAACATTGTGACATATTGTGACAAATCATGAGAAATTCTGAACATTGTGACATATGACTCATAGGATGGATTCTGAGTGATTCTGATGGATTCTGATGCATTGCCTTCGGTCTTTTGATGTCGAGTCCTTCAGGCCTGGTGCGACGGCTCTTCCATTTACTGCCCTGGCTCCTGTTGGCACATCTAGCATGGAGGCTGGTCGCTGGCCCCAAATGGCTGTATTTGCGGACGGGTTGAGCGTCAGGAAGTTGCGGAAGATGCAGCTGTCTGTTTGGCAGCTGCTGAACATGCCGAAAGCTGAGTGTATCGCCAAGTATCAAAGATGGATTTATATTGATTTGGGTTTGTGCCGGAAGATTATATGGAATATATAGATCTGTTTCGGAAGTGAAAATGATGCGATGCAGGACGAGATGGCAATCCCTTCTATCCCTTGAGAATCTTCAAGGTGAAATGTGGTTCGGCAAGAGTTTCGAATTTCCCGGTTCGGGCTTGAAGCATGCATATTTTTTTCACAATCAGATGTGATGGTTGAGATTTTGCAGGTGCTTGGAGTTTGTGGTCAGACCGCACAGAATTGGCAAGTAGCCGAGTCAAAGAGCCAGTCAAGCGGTCAAGCAACGTTTTTGATTCTTTTGGTTCCACTAATTCCACACTTTTCATCTTCGAGATGCCGCAGATGAGGTTGACTCAAAAAGCAGCCATGGGGACAGGCGGCTGATTTTGACCGATTCCTATGTGTTTGAGATTGTTTGAGCGTGGCTGCGCAGGGCAACTCCAGACAACGAAGTAGAGACGGCCAGTCCAGCCAAAAAGACAATTGAGGAGGATGGGTCCAGCCCTGCATCCAACAAAGCTCCTGAGGAGGACAGGCAAAAGTACTTGTTAAAAGATGAAAACGGCCTTCATATTTTGAAACAAAGTCTGCGAAAGTGACATCACAGTATGTCCTTATGGAGCCTTTCATTTAGCCCTTTCTCATGTCTTTGTTGAGACATTGACTTGTGTCTTTGGTCCTTGTGGAGTCTTACGCTCGAGGAGCTTCAAGATGCTGCTGAGTCAAACAACTGCAGCCTTCAGCATTTTCTACAGCCAGCTGGACTCGAAGCCTACGCGGCCAAGGCCTTAAGCTTGGGCCTCGCAATGCAGCACTGTTCAAGATCCTGTCACCTCCGGTGCCTCAACATGACTCGACATGGTCCAGTCTGAGAATCGCTGGATTGGGCTCTTTTGGACTTGACAAATTCATCATAGGCCTCAATATCCTCAATCAAGCCAAGGATAGTCTAGCTGCGAATGGGTACGATACCGAGGCGCTTCATCAATGAGTAAGGGATGACATTTGAAAGAAACTGGTACAAACGGTACAGACGGTACAGACATTTTCAGTTTCTTCAACAAAGTGTTTCTGGAGCTTCATTTACTTATAGCGACGGACAGGTTTTAAACGATTTGGACAGCGCGGACCAAGAAGAAATGCTCCAGCGCCAGTCTCAAGTCTTTTCATCCAACTTCGATATGATATGGGTTCCAAACATTCCTCAGGCAGAATTTAAATCTTTTGCAGTGACTACTTTTGCTGCTGGAAATAAGGACGATCAACTGCTTGCCGGGCCACAAAGTCTTGGCCTCAATTGCCACGCCACAAGTTGAGATGTCAGCGCCTTTTCCGCCTTCCCACCAGCCTTTGATGAACATTGGGCTTTTCAGGTGAAGTTTCGCAAGTTGCTTTCAAAAAGCCAAAGCCATCGGAGCGATGCCAAAGATGCATAAAAGGCTGCAGTGCGAATTCCATTGCTGCAAAGGCAGTTCCGTTTGCGTGAGCTTTCTGCAACATTTGCAACCTTCTTGGTCCTTGCTTTCAAAACTGCATTTTCAAACTGCCTCAGTCCAACAAGGTATTGATTTGATTTTTCTGTGATGCCTTGGACATGATTCAGTGTTTATATCTCAAGGGTCAGTGTCTTTCAGACACTTGCCAACCTTATGCCGCGTGTATGGCGAGCCCGCGGGGCTCAGCCCAAAGTCAATGTTGAAGTCGAAGGAGTTTCCAGATTTTTCTCCGTTGGAGTCCTAAAGGTGGCTCCGGAGGCAAAGGTGTCATTTTATGGCACTCCAAAAGCCAAGTCGTTTTATCCAGCACAAAGTCCTGGCATCTTCCGTGCCCCGGAGTTGGGACCTCAGGTGGTTGATGAAACCAATGAAACATCAACTGCTTACTGCTCCCAGCGCTCGCGGTGCTCATCAGCTGCAACAATGCCACGCTCCTTCTACAAGCCAGTGAAAAGGTCCAAAGCAAGGAGGTGTGAGCGCAGTGAGCGCCTGCGGCAAAGTGTTCGTGTGGATCCGCAAGAGGAAGAGAGGCGTGAGAACGCTGAGACGGCTGAGACAGCTTCTGGGATGGTTGAGAAAGCCGAGCAAGTTAAAAGTGTCGCAATTGTGGATTTCGAGTGTTCTGATTGTGTAGAGAAGGTAGACGAGGCTGAGTGTCTTGAGTGCGAGGAAGCACGGAAAGATGAGCAGCCACAACAGTCGCAACAGTGGCAACATGACATCGCGAAGGAGCCGGAAACGCCGAAGGAATCTCTGAAGTCTGTGAAGGTCTCCGAGGAGCTGCCGGAAGAGGGCGATATCGCTGATGCCGATGGCAATGGCAACGAAGGGTTGGAGACTGTGGAGACTGCGGAGACTGAGATAACTAGTTGGATCCGTCTCCCTGATCAAAAACCTTGGGCAGATTCACTGGACGACTCCGATGAGGAATGCTTCTGTGGTATTGCAAATTGGCCAGAGACGCCAGAGTCTCAGAGTTTGCAATGAGGTTGCACTTATTCAGTGCTGTGGTGCAACTGTGCTACAAAATTTGTGCGGGCTTGCCCTGAAATACCGTATGACCGTATGTGTTCTTTGTTTCAATATATTCCTGAATGTCCCCTTGGCAAAGGCAGACGGAGATCCAAGAGCCAACGAAACAGCAGACGGAGATCCAAGAGCCAGCGATCAAACAGACAGAGATCCAAGGGACACAGGTGAATGCTTCTGAATCTTGTGTCTCAAGTGTTTCAAAAAGGGGATATGTGTTTTTTGAAGTGAAAGTGAAGACAGGGACACATCAAGGGAGTCCTGCTTGGAAGTAAGTGCTGCTTGCTGACGCCCTTTGACAGGTGACTTCTAAAGCTGATCCAGTTCCTGCATGGAGGCTGTAGCTTGTTTCACATTGCCTGAGGAAAGTTGTGTTCAGCGTGTTTTAGTATGTTTGAGCAGCATGTATTCAAGCTTCTTGTATTGGAGCTGCAAGGCAGAGAGATTCCCGGCCTCGTACACATCGCAACTACGATGGTTACAATACTTGGGATGATTGGAATGATTGGGCTGCCTGGGACAATTGGGGTGCTTATGGCACTTATGGCAACGTCGATTATGGTTATGGCTATGGCGCTTATGCTGGAGCACATGGCAAAAAACAGAAAAACCAGCAAGGTCAGCAAGGTCTAGGCCTCAGACATCTCGTCCCATAGAGTCGAGATGACATGAGATGACTGCATCGCAGCCAACGAATATTCCCGGTGTCAGGACGTCCCGGACGCAATCGACAACCAAAAAAAAACAAGGAATGGAAGCAGGCAAAGTGTCGATGAAAGTTCGCAGAATTTTGACAGATAGTTGATGAAGGGCATGTTCTCATATTTAATTTTCATATGTTTTCACAAAAATGCTCGATTAAGTTGCTGGTGTTACCCACGTGTTTCTCGAAGAAAAGGGTGGCCTGGCCTCTGCTCAGGTGCAAAGGCAGTGAGCCGGCGCATCTTTGCCTGCATGGGTCAAGCCAGCGTCTGATTTTGCATCGTTGCGAGCCATGTGTTGTGCCATTTATTTATACACAGTAGATGACTTCATGATGATTTTTAAAGATGATTTCATGTGTTGGCTTCCGCGTGGCAATGCCAGCGATACTCATGCAGACTGTAGTCGTTTCAGACCGCGAGTGCAAATGCCGTTGCTTCGCTGCACTGTCTGTAATTGTGCCATCGATGCGCATTTCGTCGATTTGAACTGGGCAAACCAAAGGGTTGAAGCTTTGTGTTCAACCTGGCTCCACAAACTCTCATCATGTCGTAGTACTGCATAGTCATGCTTCCAGGCAGCTTGATTTGGCGAAAAGGAGCAACTTTCTTGACCCTCAGCCGAGTGTCTCACCCAACCGTCCTTTCACAGAAGGCTCAGATCACTCTGAGCAGACAGTATTCCACACGTACTCCTCAGCCACACAACATGAAGTGTGGTGGAAATACTTGAATACATATTCTGTACCATTTGCACGTGACCCAAGTGGCAGCAAAGGGCTTCGAAATGAAGCTGCAGAACTCATGGCAAAGATACAGCTGAACCAACATGCAAATCATTTCAATCTCCCTAGCTGTACAATAGCCCAGCGCATTGCAGCGCTTCACAACATGCATTGTAATTACTGCTGTGAAAGCCAGAGTTCATTGGCGACAGAGATGCCAAAGCGGCGAACGTTTCAATTGGAAAAGTGGCTGCCAAAGAATCACCATACATTCTCAAAATCTTGGTAGCTGAAGCTTATAGAGACCTACTTGGAGCCAGTATCGGTCGATGAATTGTGGGCTATCCTTTGAGAAACATGGCTGTTCATGTGCGTGGTCACTTAAAACAGCTGACATGCTAGGGAACAACAACTAACAAAATACAGCAGGATTACTGCAAGAATCAGTGCAAGAATCTTGAGAACCAGGAATCTATGCTCAAGGTAAAACGGCTTGATGTAAAAGGGTGCGGTAGTCACGGTTGAGGCGTCGGCTGTGACTTGTTACAGGTTTTGCTGGTCAAGATTTTGAGCTGTTGTTGCTAATACTTGGACAGGGGCGTTCCGATGGCAGCTGCCTCGCAGCTGACGTGCCTCGGCAGTGGTATGGACTAGGTTTTGTCGCCACTGAAATCTTGTCAGTGAACGTGGTGTCACTGAGTGCTGCATTCATAGCCTAGAAAAGAATTGAAACACCCTGGCTCTTTGGTTCAAGTTGCGGCAGCCTGATCATTCTGTGGCTCACGTGTCAATTTCAGAAATTAGTCTCTCAGAGAACTCTCTCAAGGTCGGGAGCATCTCTCTTGCACAACAACCTTGCAAGCTCCTCCACTGGGTCAGTCTTGCATGTTTCATTGGCAGCTGATGGGCTACTCCAAGTTCATTTAGGTGAACATCAGCATGTATGTATTGCTTCCAGGTATGTCGCCTCTATTCATAACTCCTTGAATGCAGGCACCTTGCTGCTGTCAATCACGACATGGTGTTTCCTTTCTGAAACAAGTGCAAATTAAAACGAACAAAAAACAATATGAGGCAATATGAAGTGTATATATATATATGTATACATGTATATGAGTCAATTTGAAGTATATAATATGAAGCAATTAGATCAGACTATATAATTCATATGAAATCAACCCCGCTGTTGAACTGGGGTATGGCATGGGATACTGTTGTCCCAGTACGCACAACAGTCCGACCAGCTTGGCAAAGGTCAAGGGAAGTTGCTTCTGCACGCTCTCGCCTCTGGTCAAAGCAAGGCACGGCGTCGGAACGGGTTTCGTACGGGATTTGTACATGATTTGTACATCTAGGGGATTTTACCGTACAATAACGACTGATTCTACATGATCGTACGACAAACCTTTGCCTTGCCATGTGTCACATGTCTAAGCTTCGCCATGCAGGATGGTCCCGAGGTGGTGCAGGCAGGAATTTGTGTTCGCGGACTACCGAGAGCGCCAAAGCCATTGGATGTGACAAGAAGGTGACAAGAAGGTGACAAGAAGGTGACAAGAAGGTGACAAGACCCTGCAGAGAAATCCACAGAAGATGTGCAAGAACTCGTGTTTGATTCTGTTCAGTGAGTTTAGTGTTCGCTATTTCTGAGCTGGAAAAGTGGCACTAGGCAACCTCCATTCGATATTTGGAGACGCTGCATGGCCCCGTACTGGTGGCTACTTATTTGCATTGGATTCCAGCGGCTGGCACGGGTGGCACTAGCCAATTCAGGACTTGTTCAAGCGTTGACTTTCCACATATTGCCCAACAATGAACGACGACATCACAACATTTCCAGCTCACTCATGAGATGGACAAGAACCCAGAGCTCTGTCTTCCCCGTGCCGAGGTGACATCCACAAACGGAACTCAAGTTTATACTGAGGATCCTTGTCTGCTGCAAAGACATTCCCCAAATGTGAAGCCGCAAGGGCCGCAATATCACACATCTGGATTTCTTGATTCGAGTCTTGTCACAGGATGCATCTGCGCTGATCTTCTTCCTGCCGCTGTCAGACCAAGCCTAGCACACAGTCCGTTCTTTATCAGGCTAAACCCAAGATTCTTGAACGGTTTCGGTTTTAGTGTTAAAGCATGCTCGAGAAGGGAGTCTGGAAGCGTACTTACCATGCCGTCACTTGTTCGCTGAACAGTGCTGAGGCTGGTCCCGACAGTATCAGGTATCATCAGGCCGCGCTGCCTCAGCCAGCCTATTTCAATAACAAAATAAATCAAAATAACATATATAATGATAATAATAATATAACAATATATATATATATATTAATCTCTTCTGACTTGACCCTTCGGTCTCTTTGCATTTGTTTTGCACCAAATGGAGGAAACCACTTGCGCTGCTTTGGGGCATTCTGGGGCTCTGTGTCGTTTCACTGGACAGGCGGCTTGCTTTGTGCCCACGACGCAGCACATGGTCATCACCTTGGATTCAAATCACTCGCAGACAGCCTGCAATCCACCAACGCTCAGGTGATTGGCACATCCAAGGCAAAGCACTGTGTTGGAGAGTTGCAAAGTGAAAGCTTAGAATTGAAATTAAGAGTACCCAGAACCCATCATATCAATCATACCAATCATATCAATCATATCAATCGTATCGAATCATATCCGAGTCACATTCTGAGCACTCACCCGAACTTAGACCACTGACTCGCCGTAGTTTTGAGTCCCTGGTTTTGAGCGACAGGGCACCATTTGGCCTGTGAGTGCTGTTGCTGCCGGACAATACGTCTCCCGGGCTACTTGGAATGCTTAACATATTGTGTGGAAGTGCTGAGCTCTCAGCCAGGTCCAGCTGCATGAGTCAGCACCATCAAGTCCTACCGCAGAGGTGAGCATTGCATCACGAGTTGCGCCGTGGTCAAACTCACAATGCATTCTGAAATCTGCAGGTGTCAGATTTGTGTTTCTCTCCAATAGCAGACGCAGCTGGAACTCAGAAATCAGCCACCGGTGGCAACTGCCTATGATTCTTGTCCACTGCACCTTGACTGAAGGTCGTCTCGGTGCATAACAATGGTGATCTGCGCTTGTTTGGGCCTGAGCAACGGACAAAGAGGTCGTGGCCGGAAGAAGATGAACAAATATAATGTGCAGTATTGGGTATTCCAGATTGTTCTCAATGCAAAACCTGGCAGTTGAGGTGGCAAGTTTCTGAAGATGCTCCCTACACCAATTCTGATGTGGTGGCGAATCTGTGTCAGGACGCGTGCTCTTAGAGACAAAACTAGTCACATTTGTACGACGTCGCAGCATGCTGGCTACATGGAGCATGCGCAGGCTCCAGTTCGAGTAGTCTCACTGGGAGCGCAGCTGGCAGTTGCAGACGGGCCAGGGACTTAATTCTGAGAAAATGATGGAAGATATGCTGACCATAAAGACGGCAATAAGAAAGCTGCTGAAGAAGCTGACAAAGATGAAGGCAAGGATGAAGGTCGACACGGATGGCGATGAGGAGAGCAAGAAGTTACAAAACAAAAGAGGAAGTCAAGAGAGCAGTCTGAAGATCATGATAAAGCAATAAACCAATGCACTTCACTCGTTTTTTTTGATTGCGAGCTTAGTGCGGTCCGCTATTTTGCACCCAGCTAAATCTTTTTTTACAGACCACTTAGGCCAGGGAGTATTTTCATTTTGGATGCAACAACAAGAGAGTTGAAGGTGGGAGACGAGCAGGAGTACTGCACCACCTGATCTTTCAGAATGTAACGAGTAGAAATACATTGTATTCTATAACATATACACATAATCACATATCATATATATACACATAATAGGTATTTTAATATAATAATAATAACAACAATAATAATAACCATAATAGTCATAACAATAATAATAATACTACTACTACTAATAATAATAATAATAAATATATATATATATATATACACAATATGTACATATATTGTCGTTATTAGTGTCATTAAGTTATATTACGACTATATTGTTGTTATATCCCTGAATATATATTGTTATTACTATTGTTATTTTTATTGTTATTATATTATTGTTGTTATATATATATATATTATAATATAAATTTAATACATACATTATTGTAGACTGCAGAATGGCCATGATGTATAATGTATATGATTAAATAGATAAAAAGATGAACAAATAAAGAAACAGATAAATAAATAGATAGATAATGATAAATAAATGAATAGATATAAATATAAATATAAATACAAAGATAAATACAAATAATAAAAACAATATATATATATATATTGTTTGATTGGAGAGCTTCGCACACTGGCAGCGCCATATGTTGGTAGTGTGAGTGTTGGTGTTGTTCATGTGCTCTGCACGCGCAGGGCATGGTGTGATATTCTTTACATACCGCAGCTTGTAACCATCTTACGACACATCTTTTTGTCACATTTTGGTGTGCCCCTAAAAATTGTCCAATAGATGGTGTTTTCACTTTTTTGCAGACTCTTGGAGCAAAAAACACCGTACATATCGATGTGTTTTACGCCTCAGAAGCCAGGATTCACGGTACTTACGATGTTTTGTGCCACTTGTAGCAGAATCCATGGTATTTGCAGTGTTTTTGAAACATACCTAGCAAAAACACTGATATTCACGCGATTTTCAGCATGTTGCAAGAAGTATTTTTTTATATGCAAAAAGTACAGAAAACACTGCAACTTACAAGGTTTTTGCTTCCCGACGGCGACAAAAAATCGTCCAAGAATGGTCCAAAAAAGCTCCAAAACTGACCTCTGGAAGCATCCTAATTTCTTTATGTTTTTTGTTCCAGCCCCCGGCCCTCCAAAGCCCTAGATCCCCATTAACCTGAAGGATTTTGGGGAGGGGTCGGCGGCAGGTGCGCGCCCCCGGGTAGCTAAAGCTAGCTGCAGGCTACATCACCGTACGGCGTTGCCGGATTCAACGCTCATCATCGGCTCCGCTGGACCTTTATTTTTGCCTAGGTCGTTTGCCATTTCATCGCAGGGTGGTCTTGAAAGCTATTGCTTCTGTTTGAGGACCTGCTTGAGAAATATATTCTTTATGGTTTTTGGAACATATTCTGATGGAATCGTTTTGCTTGAAATTGTTTGAAATTGGCTGTTCGTTTTCTTGTGGGGAAGGGGAAGGTTTGTTTCAAATTGTTAGGAGACAGAGGCAATCAGGGTTCTATAGAGGATCACCTATACATGAACATTAGTTTCTACTAAACGCTATGAACCAATAAACGGCCGATTTGATGCTGTTGGCATCTTGCATCAGTGGCGTGATCGTTTTTGTTCTATGTTTTACGTGCTTCTAACTGTTTCTATGTCATCATGTGTTGGACATGTGTTCCTAGATTGGTCAGGTTTGCATTGGCCGCTGCCAACAATCAGATATTATATCTACGATATATATATATATGTATATATATATATGTATATATATATATATATGTATATATATATATATATCTAGAGACATATATGACATATCTGCATAGATCTTTCATATTCTGTGACGTAAATGTCTGGCAATCAATTAAGCAAATATCGTCGACAGGGTGGCATTTTAGATAGTTCCTTCTTGTATTTTACATCCTTTTCCTATGGTTTCAAGACTATGGTTTCAAGAAAAAGGAAGAACTGCCAAGTTCAAATCTTGAAAAGGACAAAGTTTAAAAGGCATAGACTAATAAAAAAAACATGAGTGTAGAAAAACTGAAAAATGGACTGACAAGATCAATTCTTGAAAAGGATATGCCTGAAGAACGATTGGATAGATTGGATAGATTAGATAGATTGGAAAGATTAGATAGATTGGAAAGATTAGATATATTAGATAGATTAGATAGATGAGATAGATTAGATAGATTAGATAGGTTAGAAAGATGAGATAGATAGAAAGATGGATAGAAAGAAAGAAAGACAGAAAGAAAGAAAGAAAGATAGATACATAGATCGGATCGGATCGGATCGGATAGGCTAGGACAGGATAGATAGACAGGTAGATAGATAGAAAGAAAGATAGATAGATAGACACCTACAACTACAATTACAACTACAGCTACAACTACACCACTGCTGCTGCTGCTACTACTACTACTACTCCTACTACTCCTGCTACTCCTGCTACTCCTACTACTCCTGCTACTCCTACTACTCCTACTACTCCTACTACTCCTACTACTCCTACTCCTACTGCTACTGTTACTGCTAACTGCTATCCACCAGTGGTACCGCAGAAAAAAACGGCTCAAAGATAGGACACTATAGGAGGGTGAGTTGTTGTGATGCATGGATGGCAGAGCGAATCCACTGATGGACCGAGTGGTGGTTGGAGTTGTCATTTGTTGTGTGGTTGCAGTGGCTGCAGTGGTCGCCTCACCACAAACTGCTGAATGTCGTGCGGTGTCGTGTGGTGTGGTATGGTGTCGTGTAGTCTACTGTAGTGTAGTATAGTGTAGTGTAGTGTAGTGTAGTGCAGTGTCGAGCGTAGTGTGGCGTGGTTGTCGTTGTAGTGCCATGGTCGTTGTAGTAGTAGTTGTTGTAGTTGCAGTCTAGCGTAGTGGTAGCTGTAGTTGTAGTTGTCCAAGGAAGTTTAGAAGTCAAACTTCCCACAATATGGACCGATGAAAAGAAGAGGTGGGAAGAGTCAGAGAAGAGACGAGAAGAAAGAAGATCAGAGAAGAGAAAGAGTCAGAAGAAAGAAGATCAAAGTGCCCGAAAAGGTAGAAAAGTCGCGAAACACTGTGTTTTTCCAATGTTTTGGGGCTCTCAGGGTCGAAAAGTAGGCTCGCTAAAGCGGCGGGTGCGGAGCCATCTGGAGAGATGAGAGATGAACAATTGCACGCCGTTGTGGCGCGAAGCACGTTTCGAAGTCAAAATGCAAAAGCACCGCACATTCAGAGCACTTTTGGAAGTTGAGATGATGAAAAAACACGGCGTTGTAGCGCGAAGCACATTTCGAAGTCAAAATGCTAGCAGCAGCATATGTTCGGAGCACTTTTGGAAGTTGAGATGATTGAAAAGTGCATGCTGTTGTGGCGCGAAGCACATTTTGAAGTCAAAATGCTGAAGGCACCACATGTTCGGAGCACTTTTAGAAATTGAGATGGTGAAAAAGTGAACGCCTTGGTGGTGTGAAGCAAATTTCGAAGTTAAAAGTGTTACAAACTGTCGGTCTCGGAGCACTTTTTCAAGTTAAGACGTCGAACAAGTGCACGCCATTGTGGTGCGACGCACATTTCGAAGTCAACATGTGAAAAACTCGCCATAATCGGACCATCTTTGGACGTTCACGATGCGACAACAACAACTGCAAGTACAGCTAAAACTACAACTACAACGACACATGGTACTACAACTACAGCTACGGCTACAGCTATCACTACAACTACATTAACTACATTACCCTATACTACACCACACTACACTCCACTACACTACACTACAGCTACTTTAGACTATACTACACTACACTACACTATACGACACGACAGTACACAACACTACAGTACACTACACGACACTAATTACACCACACCACAGCCACAACTGCAACTAGATTACGCTATACTACACTACAACTACAGCTGCACTACACCACACTACATCCAGCAGTTGTGGGTGAGGTGACCACTGCAACCACTGCAACCACCCAAGAAAACACAACTCCCACGACCTTTCGGTCTATCCGTGGATTCGCCCTGCCATCCGTGCATCACAACAACTCACCTCTCCTGTGTCTTACCTTTGAAACTTCCGCCACCGCCTTGTGCGGTACTACTGGTAGGAAATGAAAAAACAGTTGTGAAATCGCAAAGACAAGTCTGATAAAATGATATGAACACATTGTCATATAAGTTCATGTTAGCTCTTAACCTGCCAAGCGTAACTTCCTGAAAGTTCCCGTAAGGTCAATCATAAATCGTAAGTTAGCATAAGGTAGCAAAAGTTCAAAACTTTAAGCTCCATAATTTCTTAACATAAAATATAAGTATGTAGAGTTCCATAACTTCAAAGCCTTTGTCTCCGTTTGCTTTGTTTCTTGTTGACGAATGCGAAGAACATGTGACTAGCAAAGCCGGTTCAAAAATTGAAAGCAAAAACCACAGAAAGTGTTATACTTTACAACATTTTGTGTTGCCAGATGGCAGAAAACACCGTAAATACCAATGTTTTTAGCGCCTCAGGAGCCAAAAACCACAGTATTTACGGTTTTCTAACCTTGGGAGCAAAAACCACGGTATTTAATTGCCTGCGGCGAGCCCGCCGGCCATAGCTATGTGGTTCATTACATGAGCCTTCGGTGTAGTCGCAGACCGTGGCCTGGACCAAAACAAGGCCAGTGTGTGTGTGTGTGTGTAAAAGCTTTTGTGTGTAAAAGCTTTTGTGTGTCAAAGGTTCTGTGTGGAAAAGCCTCCATGTGTAAAAGCTTCTGCGTGTAAAAGCTTCTGTGTGTAGAAGCTTCTGTGGGTAAAAGCTTCTGTGTGTATGTGTAAAACTGTCTGTGAGTAAAAGCCTCTGTGTTTAAAAGCTTCGGTGTGTAAAAGCTTCTGCGTGTAAGGGCTTCTGTGTGTAAAAGCGCCTGTGTGTAAAAGTGTCTGTGAGTAAAAGCCGCTGTGTGCTGTGTGCAAAAGGTTCTGTGTGTAAAAGCGTCTGTGTGTAAAAACGTCTGTGTGTAAAAGCCTCGGTGTGTAAAAGGTTCTGTGTGTAAAAGCTTCTGCGTGTAAAAGCTGTTGTGCATGTAAAATGTAAAAGCTTTTGTGTGTAAAAGCTTCTGTGTGTCAAAGCGTCTGTGTGTAAAAAACACCAAAGCATCCGTCACTCTGCTGGGGGAGAGCTTTTTGGACGGAATCCGGGAAAGCCTCTGTGTGTAAAAGCTTTGCTGTGTAAAGGCTTCTGTGTGTAAAAGCGTTTGTGTGTAAAAAACGTCAAAAATCCTGCACTCTGCTGGGGGAGAGCTTTTTGAACGGAAGTGTAAAAGCGTCTGTGTGTAAAAGCTTCTGTGTGCAAACGCTGCTGTGTGCAAAAGCGTCTGTGTGTAAACACGTTGGTGTGTAAAAGCTTTGGTGTGTAAAGGCGTCCGTGTGTAAAAGCTTCTGACGAGTCGACGGCGGAGTAGGCATCGGAGTAGCGCCGAAGGAGGCGTCATAGTAGTAGTAGTAGTCGTCGTCGTCGTCGTCGTCCTCGTCGTCGTCGTCGTCGTCGTGGTAGTGGTAGTGGTAGTGGTAGTGGTAGTGGTAGTGGTAGTGGTAGTGGTAGTGGTAGTGGTAGTGGTAGTGGTGGTGGTGGTGGTGGTGGTGGTAGTGGTGGTAGTGGTGGTAGTGGTGGTAGTGGTGGTAGTGGTGGTAGTGGTGGTAGTGGTGGTAGTGGTGGTAGTGGTGGTAGTGGTGGTAGTGGTGGTAGTAGTGGTAGTAGTGGTAGTAGTGGTAGTAGTGGTAGTAGTGGTAGTAGTGGTAGTAGTGGTAATAGTGGTAGTAGTGGTAGTAGTGGTAGTAGTGGTAGTAGTGGTAGTAGTGGTAGTAGTGGTAGTAGTGGTAGTAGTGGTAGTAGTGGTAGTAGTGGTAGTAGTGGTAGTAGTGGTAGTGGTCGTGGTGGTGGTGGTGGTGGTGGTAGTAGTAGTAGTAGAAGAAGTAGTAGTAGTAGTAGTAGCAGTAGTAGCAGTAGCAGTAGTAGCAGTAGTAGCAGTAGTAGCAGTAGTAGTAGTAGTAGTAGTAGTGGTGGTAGTAGTAGTAGTAGTAGCAGTAGTAGCAGTAGTAGTAGTAGTAGTAGTAGGGAGGGGGGAGGGGGGGTGACTTTGATTCAGACTTGGCAAAAGCGCGCGCGGAGAGAACAAAGGAACAAGTACAAGCCAAGAACAGAAACAACCCGGTGGGGGGAAAACCGCGCCAGCGTTTTGAGCGTTTTGAAAAAAATGTCGTTTTCGCCATAGCGACACTGCTGATTCATTTCCCAAAATGGTCTTAAAAATCCCCGGGATTTTGAAGTGGTTTTTCAACGATGACTCGTAATTTACAGGAAATTAGTGCCTGAAAACTCGCGCGTCTTTTTTTCCATTCACATTGCCATACGATTCTTCAAGGCTTGACCTGTGACCTCCATCAGACCTTTGGTCGTGGAGTTCATCCAACGCCACTGCCACACCTGGATGCTTCGCATCAACTTTGGGTTGACATGGCCGTTGGATCTGGTCGGGAGACTGCATGGTATGGCAGACTTAGATAGTCGCCACATTGCATCAACACCCCCTGTGTGAATCATAACTGTTTTGTTGCTGATGCGTTTCTTTACACAAAACAAACCTTTAGAGTGGTTGCAAGCTTCATGGCGCCAACCAAACTTGTGACTCAAAGATGGATAGCATGGTGCCCCCAGTGACGTAACGTTAGATGTGCATGTGACGCAAGTTAACATGAACGTTAACATCCCCACCCCCCAACCCAGTGACGTAACGTTAGATGTGCATGTGACGCAAGTTAACATGAACATTAACATCCCCACTCCCCAACCCAGTGACATAACGTTAGATGTGCATGTGACGCAAGTTTACATGAACGTTAACATCCCCACCTCCCCAACCCAGTGACGTAACGTTAGATGTGCATGTGACGCAAGTTAACATGAACGTTAACATCCCCACCCCCCCAACCCAGTGACGTAACGTTAGATGTGCATGTTACGAATGAAATATGTGTGTTTTCAAAAACGGCCAAAACGCTGGCGCGGTTTTCCCCCCGCTGGCTAAAAACAAGCACAAAACAAGAACAGACACAAGAACAACACTTCACAATCAGACACGCCGGCAGGCCGGCGGATTTACAATGGCTTGTGGACAGCACCTAGCAACACTACTGGTATTTACGTGGTCTTCAGCATGTTGTCATAAGTAGCCTTTCCACACAAAAGGGACAAACACACTGTAAATTACGGTGTTTTGGCCTTTGGCATGCGCCGTTGCTTTCTGAACCGAAAAGAAACTAGCTTCTGGACCGGCCGCTGTTCGTGCCTAACTTTGCTCTCTGAACCGACAAGAAATTAGCTCCAAAGGCATACTCTTGCAGCCTGCTTTCTTCTTTCATCTGCTTCTTGCTTGCTCTTGCGGCTTGCTCTCTTCTTTGGTTTGCTTCCTTCGCTTGCCGCTTGCTTCTTCTTCTTCTTGCTTACCGGAACTTGCTCTTGCAGCTTTCTGTCTTCTTTCGTCTACTTCTTTCTCTTGCCTCTTGCTTCTTCTTTGTCTTCTTGCTTGCTAACTTTTTCTTTTGCAGCTGCCTTGGACCGGCCGCTGTTCGTGCTTAACGTTGCTTTCTGAAGCTTCAAGTAATTAGCTCCAAAGGCATGCTCTTGCAGTTTGCTTTCTTTTCTCGTCTGCTTCTTGCTTGCTCTTGTAGCTTCCTTTCTCTTTCGTTTGCTTCTTTCTCTTGCCTCTAGTTTCTTCTGCTTGCTTGCTAGCTTCTTGCTCTTGCAGCTTGTTTTTTTCTTCCATGTTTTGCTTCCTCTTGCAGCTTGCTCTTGGAGGTCGCTTTCTTCTTGCGTTTGCTTCTTTCTTTTACTTTTTATTTCTTCTTCTTGCTTTCTCACTTCTCGATTCTTGCTCTTGCCGCTGGCTTTTTTTCTTCCATATCTTCTCCCCTTGTTGCTTGTCATGTCTTCTCTGACGCGCTCCCCTGCTGCAAGCTGGGGTCGGCGGATAAAAATTACAATTATGATGTGTGTGTATATATATATTTATAATATATACATATAAATATATATACATATATTTTCACATCATGAGGTTTACTCTCCAAACATTTGTTGCTTTTGTTTTTCGTTTGGATGCACAGGCAGAGGTAACAGCCCACGGACGGTGGCTTTCTGCAGCCGTGTCCAGAGAGGACAATTTTGAGTGGGGGAAACTATGGGGTACCTTCTCGTAATCTGCTCCGTGGTTTGCAAGGAAAATTTGCATTTTTTTCCCATTAACACTTTCATTTACAGAGGTTTTCTGCAAATTTTCCCCGTTGAAAATTACGATTTCCCAGTTAATCATGTTTGACTACTAGCCTGCTTTTCCCCAAGATTGCGAAACTATTGGAGTTCTTGCTTCAAGTATATGAGGAGTTGCAGGTTTGCGTTTTGGAGCGGGCATGTTGGTTGGTGCCGCTGCAGGGTGCTGCTGCAGGGTGCTGCTGCAGGGTGCTGCTGCAGGGTGCCACCGCGGGGTGCTGCTTCAGTGCGCTTTGGAGCGTGCCTGCTCATGTTGCTGCAGGGTGTCGCTGCAGGGTGCCCCTGCAGGGTGCTTCAGGGTGCTGCTATCAGAGTGGTGTGTGCGTTTTGGAGCTGCCCTGTTGCAGGGTGCTGCTGCAGGGCGCCGCTGCAAGGTGCTGCTGTTAGGGTGGTGTATGCGCTTTGGAGCTGGCCTGCAGGTGCTGCTATAGGGTGTTGCTGCAGGTGCTGTCAGAGTGCGGTGTGCTTGGTTGTCGTTCAAGGGCGTCTTGGGTGCTGTTTCCGCGCTGCGAGATGTGCATGGCAATGTGGGGTGTTGGGGCTTGATGGAGATTACGTTTATGCAGTGATTACGTCGATTACGTTTACGCAGTGTCAAAAGGCAGAGTGCTTGGTTGCTGCCCAAAAATAAAATGTCTTTTGCTATCTGGGGTTTATGTTGGCGTAAATTTGATCGTATACACATTTCAGACAAAGCTGCCGCAACCAGGACATTGGACTGCTCGTGACAGTGGGTGAAGACACCGTGCTGAATGTTTGGCAGGCTGGTATAGTGAGCAACCTAAAGAGGAAAGTGATGGTAGATGATGGTAGAATGGTTGCCTCAAAGTGTTGCAATGCTTGGTTGTTTGTCTACACAGGTTTTATCAACTTCTATTTGTCAACATTATATTTAAAGATGAGGCTCAAACACTTTGCTTACACATCAGCATTGGTGAAGAACTCTTTGGATAATTAATTCTCAATGCATTTCTTGGGAAACAATCTTCATCAAACTTTGGATTGCTTGATATAGGTGGATCCAAGCGAAGGCATCGTTTCCTTGCATCACTCCACTGTAGTTGCTGACAAGGCTCTCCTGTGCAGAAGCTTGCTTGTCATACGGCATGCTGAAATATGTCAAACTTGCACAGTACTACTCGTACTATGAATGGGTTGCAGATGCGTGCGGATGTGTGCAGTGTCACCCTATGTGAAGTTTCCAACAGATTATGATAGACGAAGCAGTTGCTTTCCGTGCCAGTTGCTTTGCGGTGTCGCCTTACATGGCTCTGGGGCCTCCGTGGTAGCATACGATTCTGCAAGAGACCAAAGGTGATTGGCTTCAGCATAATGGATCAAAATGGTTCAAAACGGATCAAAATGACAATTTTCGAGAGCACCCACTACTCAAACCTTTGATTCTTTTTCATTCTTTTGCTCTGAGGATCAGCTCTACCACGTGAACTTCTGAAATCCATTGGCAAACTTCAGATTGCAGGCAGGCCGGTGCGTCCCAGCCCCCAATGGACGCGCAGGTGCCTTGGTTTCACAGGCTACGTGCGTGGCCCAGATGTACCAGCCGTAGTGCCTCGCTTGTTTCAGAGGTGGAAAAGGGAAGAAGAGAAACATCTGCATCAGAAACGACACCTGCATAGATCTAGTCTAAGCAGATCTCAAGTGATGCATTGGTTACCAAAAGTCTCAGGGCCATCACACCTTCTGCGCAATACACCTTGCTCAAGCCAAGCGGAATAACAGAGCAGCCGATGCATCAGCAAATACTTTACTACTATGACTACTATACCAAGAGTAACACAGAGCTTGAACTTGAGGCAGACCTAAGAGGACACTGCCACAGCCGCACAGACGTCGGACCATAGGACTCTTATTTGGCCTCCCAGCAAAGGCCCCAGGTGAGACTGAGACTCAGAACTCAAGAGAACCTGCAAAAGGAGTTCCACTTCAGCTCACTCAATTTACATCAATTTACATCAGTTGACTGAACGACTCATCGCTGAGCTAGTTTTCTTGCCCAAGGAGCGATGCCACCTCGAAAGTTCAAGACCGACCACCGTCGTGGTGGAGGGTCCGCATAGTCGGGTTGGTGTGAGGGTCACGTGTACAAACTGCAGGGATTGAGGCAAGGGGAGAAGAATCGGTCCGCAGACAGATTGCTTTCATTCTTGTTTTCTGAACATGTGAGAAATATATAAATATATGTGCTGCCATGCACATTTGATGCGTAGAAATCCATCCTTCTTGAAGACTCATCTAAGATGCTACATTTGCCAACAGTTGTTCTATTACTCAATGGTGCCAAAATCAATCGAGTTCTCAAGCACCTCATCAGACTGCGTGCACGCTCACCTCTGAGAACTGTCTGTCCAGGGCCAGCAGCAAGCACGTCTCCAGCTTTGATGAAGTGAAGGCAAGGAATGCCGGAGAAGAATCCGCCTATGACAAGGCTGGACTGCTGTGGATCAAAACCTAGGTACTCCGACGAGCATCAAACTAGCTAGTAAACGATGCTTTTTACTTTTTTTGACACATGTCATCATTTGTTGTGTTTCGACTCAGCCCCAGAGACCATTTTATCGTAGAGCTTCGCAAAGCCGATGCAAGCTATGATAGGGGGCGAGGAATAAGCGTAAACATACACAGTCAAATCTTTAGAGGTCCAGCAATGTTTGTGTGACAAAATCCAATTCGCTCAATGGTTTCCTTTGGAACACAGAACAGTTCTGGGGCAGAAATCATGGTAAAAAGCCTTGCCGCCAGCGTAGTAATTGACATGGAGGGATTCAAGCAAATGGCATGGTACACAGCACGAGAAAGCAAAAGGTGTTGCATGTACAACAGTATGGCCGTGCAATCTGCAGCGCTGATATCAACAAGCATCCACGTGCTTTCCCCAACTCACAGTACCACAATCCCTGTGCATTTAAAGTTACGTAGAACCAAGCTTGCCCCGGTCTGCAAACTAGCCTCACAAAAGCGGACTGTGCAGCTTTGGCAGCATAAAAGGCACCTACATTGTTGTATAATTTTGGCGGGTGACGACCAGGTTTTCTTTTTTATTTGGACACCTTCGAAGTTGAAAACAGTTTCCTCTTCAATAGCAAGGTAGAATACTCAAAATTCATGGTTGAACATGTCGACAAATTTCTGGTATAATGCAGTGTAAAACTAGTGCTTTTGCCGAAGCTGCCCTTGTCAAATCTGGCACTAAACTGCGAACTGATGAAGACTTTAGAATAAGCTCTTCTCCAACATTGGAAACTTGGCGTTTGACCCAACTTGAGAAGAAGTTATGGAAAAAAATCCAGAGGACCCGGAAGGGTTTCTCAAATTGAGTGAAGGACCCTCAGAGTAACCTTTGGCAGTGTCTAGGCGAATATTCTCAAGTTTGGTTTGGAAGCTTGCACGGTGATACCGGTTTGGCCACAAGTTCAATCCCACAGGAAAGAATGTCTTTCCTCGCATGTGTTTTCCCTCGCATGTGTTATCGACTTCCCCCTTGTATTGTTTCTCCATTCAACTGCTGCTGGACTCTTCTGCACATTTGCCAAGATTTGAGCTACTTCAGCAACAGCTATATACAGTACTAATTGCCAACACGACTTCAGGTCTCTGGCGATCAAAACCAAACGAAGAGAATATGGAAACATGTTTTGTTTTTGGTTGTTGAGCTTTGGAAGTACAGTACCGATTCTTTGGCATAATCTCCGTAGTAGAAAGAATTAGATTATCTAGCTGCCAGCTGTCGTTTGGTAGGCCAGGGCAGCCCGAGCCGGAAAAGCAAAAGAAGAGGAAGAGGAGGCATCGCCATTGCAACAATGATGGCAGATGGCTGCAAGCACTTCGTCAAGAAACGGACAGCACATAACAGACACCCAAGTTTCTTGCAATCGCTTGGATTGGAGCTTCAGATTGGCCTATCAAACCTGGTAGGCATCTGAAGAAGAAAAGCCTGTTCTATTGCCCAGCGAGTTTTGATTTAGACTTCTCGTGTCAAGCACTTCACCATTTTAAAGTGCGAACTGTGCTTGATGAGTTCGCGTACATTATGCGCTTGGACCCTCGACGAATATGATCCATCATGTCATCAAGGTCCGCAAGCCACAACGGGCTGATGTATTCGGAGAGGTTTGCAATCTGAATGCAAAGTGCTCAGGATTAATTTGTGATATATTTGGGGATGTCGTGATATATTTGTGGACACGTTGTTGAGCACGAGCTTGGTCGATAATGTCTGATTTTGCTCTGAGAGTACACTGAGTATACCAATGGTCTCCGAACATGTCACTGCCAAGGCAGCAGGATATGCCCATGTGGACAAGCATGGAGTCCCATTCTTAGTTGGCTTTACTGTCGGTTTGACACGAAGCCAAGGGACTAGCGAGACCGCAGCCAAACGTGTCCTGAGTTTAGGTGGAATTGACTCGTAAGCAAAGAGAAGAGCTGGAGAAGCATTGCACCCAGCTATCGGTCATTCGGGTCAAAATCATGGGCCCTTCCGCAGATTGGTTTGGAATCCGAGCCATTCTTTTGCCCGATGACTTGGTCCATAGGCGTTTGATTCTTCGATCATTTTTTGATGGCTTTTGCAGTTGGGTCCTGACCTCTCTTGTTGAGGCAAGCAGCAAGACGACGGTATGAAGAACTCCACAAGGCTCTGAAACTGAAAGCAGTAAGGAAAGTGGTCACTTGCTCGCCCGGACATGTCAAGCAATCTTGAGGCCGGCAAGACTGCAGAAGCGCAAGCTGACTTGAAACGATTGGAAGAGGCAGCTTGTGGACCACTTGCATTAATCAGGTTTCAATCAGTTGCCCATGGAGTCCTTGACTCTTTGGCCCTGCGTGGCATCACAACCAGCTTCAAAAGATCAATGTGACCTCATTTTTCAGAGGTTAAGAAGCGCAGAGAGGAGGCTGCCAAGAAAAAGGCCGAGGAAGCCTCCAACCTAGCACCGATGCCGTTGATGCCGTTGATGCCGTTGATGCTGTCCCCACCTTGCCGTTGACGGATTTATCCACCGAGGCTGCAAAGCCACCACCGGAGGAGGATGCCAAAGCAATAGGTAGGGCTGCGCTGAACCTCTGCTGCAAATATTTTGCATCTGCAGAAGTGCTTTAGTCACTATTTTGCTGTCTTTTTGGGCTGGGTCGGATGAGTGTTTCTGTGGGTGTTCAACGTGTTTGTGAGGATGAAGAATCTGAAGGCAGTGATGGGAAAAGACAATGATGACAAGGAATCGAAGGAAACCAAAGAGGTCTGGGAGTTTCAGTCTGTTTCAGAGGTCGATTTCGTGCTTATAGTACATTCTAAATGTTGTGCATATAGTCACCACAGACTGTAGTTCCGAATTCTTCAGCATCGAACAAATCAGTGCTAGGCAGTGCCGGCAGCTGCCAAAGGTGGCTTGGCTTTCGCAAGTAGATCATGGAACGCCATAGAATGTCATCGAATGTCATGCGACGGTTCAGGTCTGTGCTTCAACTTGCAGCGCGAAATCCAAGGCAGCGAGGAGAAAGAAGCTTCAATGGATTCCAAGGAGGAGGCTTCCGCTGCAACATGGAATCTCCTTCAATTCAGAAAACAGGGACCTGAAGAGCTGTGCTTGTGATTGGCCAGGCTGGTCCAAAGAAGCAGACCATCAATGGAGTCGGCAACTCTGAAGCGCGAACCAAGAGACATCAAACTCATCCAAACAGCATATATATATAGACATCCCAAGACACAGCCATTTGCTTAGGCTGACATTGCTGATGTCTACTCCTTCGTGGCAACAGAGCAGAAGGTCAAAGAAGAGGGCGGCAGATTTGAGGCTGTGTCTCCACAGTCTCCACATCTCACTGTCCGAATAAACGAATCTCTTCTGAGCAGGCTACTGACGGTTCAATCGAGGCTTGCCGAGCTGCTGAGGTGGGGAGATGTACGACGGATGCTATGTTCACCATGTAACTATGCCATCCGGCTGTGAGCATTCTTTTTCTCGCCGTTTGTGACTTTGGGGAGAGTCTTTTTCCGAGGCTGACTTCATGTGAGCCTTGCCTCGATCTGTGAGAAAACTTAGATTATATAAAGCCAAATGAACAATCACAGGACTAGTCATGTCCGCTTTTTCCAGCTCAGAGTCTTTGGATATGCCAATGTAGTCTCGAATGGTCTCGAATGGTCTCGAATGGTCTCGAATGGTCTCGAATGGTCTCGAATGGTCTCGAATGGTCTCGAATGGTCTCGAATCGCACCGACACGTCGCTGGTAACCTTGTAAAGCCTTTATGCATCGGGGAGAACAGTCCCGTGCGTGTAGGTCCAGGCCCAGTGTACAGATGAGCCTCAAAGCAAACGAGAACGTGTCGCAAAAATGTCTTTCAAAAATGTTGGTCAGGAATGCCTTACAGGAGTGACATTGTTTATCTGTGAGCATGTCTGTCTCCCGTGCACCACTTTTTATGATTATTGCCTTATTTCATAGAGGTTCGTGGCTGCCATCTTGCTTTTAGATTGTTTAGGATGAAAATGTGAGATTGTATGATCCAGACAACAAGTTTGCACTACATAAATGCATTATTATCGTAACATATATACTCATAAGATTTTGAAAGCTAGACGTCTCTTTCGCTAGACGTCTCCTGCTGTTGCTAATTCGTGGCGGCTGGGTTTCGGGTCTTTGGTTTGATTGGGTCCAAATTGTAGCATGGAGTACCACTGGGAGAGTTTGCGATTGAAAAGTGGAACCAGTGGAACCAGTGGAATCAGGCTGGTCTTGCGACCTTGGAGATTTTGTTTTGCCCACTCCTCTTTGTTTGTTATGAGGTGGCTAAACATTTATAATGTACCATTTTTACAAACAACTCGCAAAATCAAAGGCACTCAATCCCTTTTTCAGTCAAATGCAGCAAAAATCTTTCCAAATGGCAGTTTTGGAGCAAGGTCGCAATGCAAAAAAATACATTACTTCGAGTGAACCCCAACTGTGGCATTCTTCACAGCTGCAGCTCTTTGTATTTAGCGAGTATATCGCTGAAAGTCAGCCATCTCATCAGTCCAGACCTGCCAAATTCAAGCAGAACATCGCAAACCTCAAACCAAAAAACAATTCGATGCAAAACACCAACGCCTTCAACGATCTCCAACTCGAGCGGCCCATCTCCACCGCTATCCAAGACCGTGGTCAGATGTACACCAACTACCTACAAAATCTACAAACCTAAACACCCAAGCTTTTGCTTCTCTCAATCCAAGCCGCCGAAATATATCACAAATATTCACAACTTCCATGAGAAGCCGAATGTGCAGAATGATAGAACCTGAGTGATAGTCCACATGATTCCACATGTACACAGAGCGCTTTTGAGATTCTGTCACTACTCACCGAAAGCCGGCGAACTCAAGATTTTGGATCGAGATTTTGCCATTTGACCTGGCACATGTTTTGGCATTCTTTTTACAAAAGCCAGCCGGACAGGCTGGCTCGTTGTTGTTTGCGAACGTTGTGAGAGATTAGGGGGGCTGGGGAAGTTGGTGTTTTGGGTGGTTTTGGGAACGTTTTGCAGGGTAATGTACCAGGCCGTAAATGTGTGACGGTGGGTATCGATTCCCCCCTGGTCAGTGATTATTTGGAGGTAACCGGGTAGACAAAGAGAGTATGTATGGACAGAGAGAGAAGCCTGGAGACGTCAACATGTTTATAGATAGATGGAGAGTAGAAACATGATAGAATAGATAGACAGACGGATAGAGGAAAAAGTAAACAAATAGATTATGTGTGGACCGAGAGATAAGCCGATAATTGAATATAGGTGGCGTGCTGGGGACAAAATAGGCAGTGGATGGACGTGAATAGGTTCAGAGACAGATGGAGAATAGATAGGTAGGGAGGTAGGGAGGTAGGGAGGTAGGGAGGTAGATAGACAGATAGATAGATAGACAGATAGATAGATAGATAGATAGATAGAGAGAGAGAGAGAGGGAGAGAGAGAGAGAGAGAGAGAGAGAGAGAAAGAGAGAGAGAGAGAGAGAGAGAGAAAGAAAGAAAGAAAGAACGAAAGAAAGAAAGAAAAAGAAAGAAAGAAAGAATGAACGAAAGAAAGAAAGACACATGGATGGATAGATAGATAGATAGAAAAATAGATAGATAGATAGATAGCTAGATAGATAGATAGATAGATAAATAGACAGATAGATAGCTAGATGGTTGGATAGATAGATATATAGATAGATAGATAGATAGATAGATAAATAGATAGATAGATAGATAGATGGATAGATAGATAGATAGACAGATAGATAGCTAGTTGGTTGGATAGATAGATAGATAGATGGATAGATAGATAGATAGATAGATATATATATAGATAGCATGGATGGCTGGACACTGGATAGATATATTAGGTACCCGTGAGCTAGGACTTGTGAAAGATACCCCGGGGTGGACAAGTCCTATCTCATCATGCGCCGGACCCCCCCTGGACAAGTCCCGGCTCATCAGGTGTCCGTCTGAAAACAGGAACTATGTTTGACTTTTTTTGATTTGCTGAAAAGTATTGATTTTTACAAGAATCTAGTGACATCATGATGACCTAGGAATACACTAATAGAAATATACTAAGATGGGCCTAAGTCATCATGCTCGTGGGCTGCACCAAGTATGTATGTAATGTAATGTATATAATGTAATGTCATGTACTGATAGAGGACATGACATTACATTACAGTACATTACAGTACAGTACATTACATTACATACATGAACAGGACTTGGTGCACACAATCGTATGTCACCAGAGGGGCACAAGTCCTAAGTCATCAGAACCTACATACTTACATCACATTACAGTACAGTACACTACATCACACTACAGTACATTACATTACAGTACAGTACAATGTACAGACATTATTTTAAAGCAGATAAATAAAATAAAAAATCTAAATATTTTTTATTTTCTTTTTCACTTTTCATTTTTCTCTGTTGTTTCCCGCTATGTTTCCCCGTTGTGCTTCCCTATTGTGGTCCCTATTGCACTACCCCGTCGTTGGGTCGAAGTCCTCGAGCCAACCGTTGAAAAAAATGATGACTTAGGACTTGTGCCCATCTTCAAACAAATATTTCAAAAATCTGTGATTTTCATTTTTTCTCCTTCGATTTATGTACAGACATTTAAAGCAATTAAACAAAAATGTAAATATAAGGCTTTATGTTTTTCATTTTTGATTGTTTTTTTCTTTATTTCTTCTTTCTGTTTATATAAAAAATGTTTTGACGTATTATGTATTGTGATGTAATGTATTGTACTGTACTGTAATGTAATGTATATATATATATATATACGTTCTGATGACTTAGGACTTGTGCCCCTCTGGTGACATACGATTCTGTGCACCAAGTCCTATGCATGTATGTAATGTAATGTACTGTACTGTAATGTAATGTACTGTAGTATAATGTAATGTACTGTAGTGTGATGTACTGTAATGTAATGTAATGTCCTGTAGTGCAATGTACTGTACTGTACTGTACTGTAAGTATGTAGGTTCTGATGACTTAGGACTTATGCCCGTCTGGTGGTAGCGGATGTTGTGCACCAAGTCCATACTCTTTTCTGATGACTTTGGACATTAGGAGAAGATCTGAGATTTCTTTTTCCCTAAAAAGTGTTGAGTCCAATAACAACCCCAGTGACTTAGGACTTGGTGCACACAAATCACTTGGTACCAACACCAGTGACTTAGGACTTGGTGCACAAAATCCTAGGTCACCAGGCGGGCCTTAGGCCTAGGTCACGGGTACCTAGTATAGATAGCTAGATAGCTAGCTAGCTAGATAGATAGATAGAGAGAGAGAGAGAGAGAGGGAAAAAGAGAGAGAGAGAGAGAGAGAGAGAGAGAGAGGGAAAGAGAGAGAGAGAGATAGAGTGAAAGTTAGGTTGATGCATGGATGGCTTGACGGAAGGCTGGACAGATAGGTTGCTAGATAGATAGCTAGATGGCTACAGGTCATGGAGGCTTTGTCGGCGGCAGGCTGCAATGACACCCTGACATAGAGCTATGCCTGTGCTGAAAGTAGATCGTCACGTCATCTCTCTTTGGCTACAAGCGGATGACAGCTAGCACGCTTGATGTGGATAGAGTGAGAGATAGATTGATAGGATGGTAGACAGATGGCTTGCTACAGATTGAGAAATTCTTCTGACGGATTTTCTGACTTACTGGTTGCACGTATGGTGACAGTAGTCAGCAGCGCTGGCACACCTTGTTGCGTTGTGACTACCCCCGTTGTCATGCTGCACATGGCCGTTCCACCTGGGAGGCTCGGTGCCACCTACGTATATGGAGCCTATGTTTGGCCTATGTTGATCCATGTTAGGCTCTTGGAGGCTATGTTGGGGCCATATTCGAGCCATGTTGAGCTTATGTTAAGCCAAGAACGGCGTGTTCCTTTGAAGCCTTTGCCCGGCCCAAAAGGAACACGTCGTTTTTGGATCATGTCGGGACCATGTTGGGCGTATATGAAGCCTATGCTCGGCCTATGGTGATCCATGTTAGGCTCTTGGAGGCTATGTTGAGGCCATATTCGAGCCATGTTGAGCTTATGTTAAGCCAAGAACGGCGTGTTCCTTTTAAGCCTTACCCGGCCCAAAAGGAGCACGTCGTTTTTGGATCATGTCGGGGAGTATATGGAGCCTGTGTTTGGCCTATGTTGATCCATGTTAGGCTCTTGGAGGCTATGTTGGGGCCATATTCGAGCCATGTTGAGCTTCTGTTACGCCAAGAACGGAATGTTCCTTTGAAGCCTTTGCCCGGCCCAAAAGGAACACGTCGTTTTTGGATCATGTCGGGACCATGTTGTGCGTATATGAAGCCTATGCTCGGCCTATGGTGATCCATGTTAGGCTCTTGGAGGCTATTTTGAGGTCTTTTTCGAGCCATGTTGAGCTTCTGTTAAGCCAAGAACGGCGTGTTCCTTTTAAGCCTTTACCCGGCCCAAGCGGAACACGCCGTTTTTGGATGATGTCGGCGGCAGAGGCACGCCCCCGGATAGCTAAAGCTAGCTACAGGCTACACCTCACACGACGAGGCATCACCGGATTAAGGGCTTACGCCCGACAGCTGGCGGGGCCCACTTGAGGGTAAAGGATCATACATAGATTAGACAGAAGAATTGAGGGTAAAGGATCACAAATATACTATAAATAATAAAGGGACGCATGGGAAAGCCAAAAAAACACTTTTTTTTTGGTTGGCGGTTATTGTTGTTGTTGTTGTTGGTACAAGCAAAGACTGGGGCCCTCAGAATAAGGTATCCGAGCTTATTTTGGAACTTGCTTGGTGTCCCTTAAGCGCGTCCATGGGAGTTTTCCACCGTTTTGAAAACG